TGCTATTTTAAAAGCAAGGCTTTCGCTTTGAATAATATTTTTGTTATAGCAGTCTGCCATCTTAATTAATGCTGTCAATTTTACCTCATCATCTTCAATCAGTTCTTGATAAATGTCCCAAGCATCTTTACTATCATGTAAATGATTTGTGATGTCTAAAGCATGAGCTTTATCTTGTTTTACCCCCACGTCCATGCAAATAACAGAGTGCTGAATAATATGTAGCTTTATCATTAATTTTAATTTTACTTTCATCGTTAGAGTTCGAATAATATTCTTCTTTCCTTAGACTTTCGAAAATAGTAAAAGCTACATCATATTGATAGCCTCTTTTGTATCTTTCAATGGCAAAGTTAAGTCTAAACCTGTCATCACTTTCCTTTGAACTCATAGTTTGACTGTAAATTAAAAATGGGAAATTTTTAAATTTTTGAAACTTAAGATTTTGAACTAAAAAAGTTCTATGATATAAAAAGTATGATTTCAATTAATTTTTTTCTATTAAGATATCCAATACAAAATTCAATTTGTTTTACACCTATTTTTATTTCTAAAATAGGTTAGAATGAATTTATTGTAGTCAATATCGTAACTATTTTTACCGGGCCCAACCCTATTTGAGATCTGTTGAGAAAATATTCATCTGGGTATTATTAAATTACTCAGATTAAAAACTTTTAGAATTTTCAAAATTTTCGTTTCTATTAACTCACACTCTAATTATTAGTTAATGCGAAGATTTATTAAAGGTTTGTTCTTCAAACTTCCCGGGAAATCATCACTAGAAAATTTTTAACATTTCATTTATTAGATTTTTTGATTAAAAATATCAAATAAAGCAAAATGAATTGTTTGAATTGATTTTTTTTTATTGACATTTTAATAGAAAATTTTGGTATTATGTATAGCCCAAATAATAAATTTAATAATAAATTACCTTCTAAACTTTTGCTGCAGTAACAGCAATATCAGAGTTAAATAAACCACATGACTAAAATGAACTACGATGAAGAGATTAAGCAACTTAAAAGAAATATAGAAATATTAAATAAAGAGTTAATTTTCAGGGAACAGATTATAGATGGT